TGAGCTGTGGTCTAATTCCCGCTCTTTGGAAACCCAAATGCCCCGCTGCTCCTTCACAAGGCGAAGCCGGTTTCTACCTAGAGCTTGTTGCCTTCCCTCACTTGGGGGTTCTTTGTAATGGCTTTGCAAAGCGTGGGGGCAGGGCATTTCCCCCCGCCCCCGACTCTCCCCGTGGGGAGTTTGTCCGAGGTGAAGGAATATTTCGTTTAATTTGCGGGATCCCTAAAGCACGAATCTCCCCCGCCACCGCCCTCTCTCCTGGCGCTGTCCGTGGTGCTGAAGCCGGGCTGCCGGGGCGCAGGGGCGGGCTGCATCTCAGCGCCCGCGGCTCTTCTGCTAGCACCCGCAGCTCAGATCCTCGATTTACAAGCAGATCTCAGTCCCCACCAGCTTTCCCCCTCCCCACTTCACGAGGTGGGCGAGGACACTAGTGCTCCGGAGCCCTCCTGCCCCCTCCCGCTTAGAGCACGTCTCCACAGTGTTAGCGGCCCCCGTCTCTGTCCGGTCTGCTAAGGACCCGCTGGAGACACGGCCCGGGGGGGCACCCGCGCAGCCCCTGCCGCCCCAGCCTTTGGTCGCCTCGCCTGTTACTCCGGAAGCGTGCTGCGGCTCTGCAGCTCAGCTCCCGGGACCCAGCATGCCCCAGCCCTTCTTTGCCCCCCTCCCCTCCCTCCAGTCTCGGGCTCCCGTTCCTCCTCCTACCGCGCGCCCAGCACCTGCTCCTCGGGCTCTCGCCGGCCATGGGCTGGACACTAAGCACATCCCTGGCTTGTAGGGAGCTTTGCTATCTGCCAGAGCGGACAAGCACAGGAACGCGACAGACTCACAGGTCCCCCCTCCCCCCCGCCCCCCATCTTCCTTCCCCGAAACCAGGTCGTTTGATAAATGCCAGCTCCGACTCTAAAGCAACCCTCGCCCAGTCTGAAATACCTGATTTCTGGCAGGAGCTATAAAAGATTCATTAAAAGAATCAAAATATTCTTCCCGCTTCTATTTAAAAATATATGAGATCCGGATGCAATTTAAGATCAGTAGCAATTTTTTTTTTCTAAGGGAAAGAAAAACCCAGCAAGCATACTTTGCCAATAAAACGTTAAAATCTTTTTTAATGAAAGACAATTCAACAACATTGGAAATAACCGAACACATTACTCTAATAAATAAAGCTTCTATTAACAAAAAAACCAACGAAATCGTATCATGTACAGAACTTAAAGACTTCAAATCGTCTCAAATAGAACAGCGATACAGCGAAATCTGTAAGAATATATCTATATGTGCGTCAATTCGAATGAAATATTTACAAAACATCGAGGTACCAGGATTCAAGTACCTTCATTATGTTCTTGTTGTTCCGAAAGAATTGTACCAAACGATGTGAATTTACAAGCAGTGCACTGTCTCGCTCGCTCGCTCTCTCATTCTCTCTCTCTCTCTCGCTTTTAAATTTAAATTTGGCTTTTTTACAAACAAACCTCCAAAGAAAAAAAAAGGTTCTCCTCAATGTAAAAGTATTGCAGTGAAAAGAACTAAAAAAACCAGCCGCTCTGAACACAGTTAGTTGTGAACGAGCTCTGAAATTCAGAAGGATAAATACTGTGATGGAAAGAAACCTGAAGCAGCAAAACCCCACACTGGCACCTATTCAGCCACTTCTTCTCTCGCCTTAGCAGTGTGTGGTGGGGACAATATGGGAATCCCCATTAAATATGTAACGCAGTTAAAAGAACTAAAAAACCCAGCCGCTCTGAACACAGTTAGTTGTGAACGAGCTCTGAAATTCAGAAGGATAAATACTGTGATGGAAAGAAACCTGAAGCAGCAAAACCCCACACTGGCACCTATTCAGCCACTTCTTCTCTCGCCTTAGCAGTGTGTGGTGGGGACAATATGGGAATCCCCATTAAATATGTAACGCAGTAAACAAATACCTCGGACAGTGAATCAGGCTACACAAATAATGTAGACATCTACCATAGAGTGCCAACGCCTTACAAATAAGAAATACTTGCCAGAGAAAAAAAATCTTAGTTTCAGGTGACAATTTACAGATGGCCAAAAGAGAAATTTTTTTTTGTAAGAAGAAAAATGCTTAAGTTAATAAATTCTACCAACACAAAATATTTGATTTGCACTATCCATATCATTTTTTTTTACTTTTATCAAGACTTAGATTAAAGAGGTGTAATTAATTAGAATGAGCACAAAATGAAGTTGCTAGAGATAAATTAATAATTTACAAGGGGTTGTTTGGCAGTAATCTAATAATAGCTTCTGAAGACCAGTGAGCACAGCAGGATCAGTTCTTTC